TTAAAATCCAAGGAAATAACACATACCCATCAAAATTGCTGAAATTTAAAAACAATAACAGAAAACTGCTGGAAGAATGAATTTATGCAAATTCTTTTACCATTTATTAAAAAGCTTAAAATATGTAAAGCTTATAACTCAGCAATTCTGCTGTTTCTAGATGCTCATGATAAAAATGTATTCATATGTTCCCCAAAAGATGAGTACAAGAATCTTCTTAAAAACAGTAGTCTTAATAGGTCTAAAATGGAAACAATATTACTATACAACAAAGAAACAAATTTTAGTATGTTCATACAATGGACTGCTATAAAACTATCCTGTACATGTGGTAAACATTAGCCATATGTGTCTACTTAAATTTTAGTCAATTAAAACCAAATAAAATTAAAAGTTTAATGCTACATTCACGCTAACTGCATTTCAAATGCTCAGTAGGCACACCTGGCTAGAGGCAACCATACTGGATGGCAGAAATGTAAAATATATCCATAATTTTAGGAAATATGATTAGACAGCACTGTTATAGAGCAATGAAAATGAATTTCTGTTATGTGCAACAATGCGAATGAGTCTTATAAGCACATTGTTGAGTGACACGATGCACACAGAAATGACTATGTCCTGTATCTTCCTGTGTATAAAGTTCAAACACAGAAAAAATTAACTTATTCATAATATAAGTCAAAATAGTGGTAACCTTAGGGTTAAAGGGGGTTAATGACAAGAAGGGAGTTGGGGAAGGGCTTAAGAAATACTTGTAAATATCAATTTCTTGAACTGGATTGTGGTTCTTTGTAAAAATAGATCAGTCTGTGATTTGTGCACTCTTCTAAATATATAGTAAGCTTCAGTAAAATGTCTATAAAATGATATCCATTGACTCCCAATTATTAGACAACCAGCAAGCTTGTCCTTTTGATTTCTCCCTTGTTTTAGTCTCCCATTTTTATTAGTTATGTAATTTCTACTTAGTCAAGGTATATTACATTTCATTCTATTTTGCCACCCCTATGCTCAGTTCTTAGTTTCAGCATAAATGAATTATACTGAGTTAAATACATTATTTAAATTTGTTTAATTTAACATATTCAATGCTCTCCATGAGACTTTTATCAAAGTTTCCCCAATCATATGTTGGCTGCTTATAACCTGCTTTGCTGTCTATTCTTAAGAAGTAGCTCATAACAACATTTCCTGGGTTCTTCCATATCAAAACTATTTATAGTTGGGAGGCAGTTTATTGAAGTTGAAATAATTAGCTCATGTTTTCTTTCCTTGAAGATCTTTTGTATGTCTCTAGTCATCTGGAGCTGAATGTTGCTTTTCAAAAATGTGATGCCAAACACTTTTGTTTTTCCTTTTTTTTTCTTAGATAATAAAAGAATTATTTCTTTCCCTTTAAATCCAATTTTACTGAGATACATCTCAGTCCTGATTGTCCTGGGTCAATTTCCCTAGATATTTGACATGCTCTTTCAATATGTAAATTAAAATATTATTTTATTTTATTATGTATTCATTATTTATTATTATTGCTTATTGTTTCAGTATTTATTAAAACTCATTTCAGCCCTGACCAGATAGCACGCATGCTTAGAGCGTTGTCTCAATACACCAAGGTTATGGGTTCCATCTCTGGTCAGGGCTCATACAGGAAGCAGCCAATGAATGTGTAAGTGGAACAACAAATTGATGTTTCTCTCTCTCTCTCCCCCTGTCTCTATCTCTCTAAAATCAACAAATAAAAAATTTTTTAAATCATTTCAGTAAAGTTTAATTTTTCAGTAAATATTTAACAATAGATTTAAATATTTATTCACTGTTTTGGTTTTCTTCTTTGGAGATTCCAGTTATGTAGTATGTTGGATCATCTATCTTCTGTATTTGTCCTGTTTCTCTTAAGACCTTTTATCTTAAATTCATTTTACATTCTCCATTTCTCTCTCTCTCTCTCTCTCTCTCTCTCTCATTTTCTATGCCTCATATTTGCTTGGTATGTTTTCTTTCTTGTGTGCTTTACAGTAATTTTCATTTCTGAAATTTTCTGCTTATTCTTTCCTGAGTTCTGTTCATTTTTATTCCATAGCCTCAGCAGATATTTTTCTCTTGCTTTGTGACCATGATTGTTTTAATTTTTTTGGTTTAAACTTACATATAATTATGTTTATATTTTATCTGATTTCAGTGTTTGGTATTATATTCCCAGTGAGGTTTGTAGTAATGATTAAAATTTTTCATTTCTTTCACTATAATTATTTTGTATATATACAGAACTTTTTTCATTTTTACTTACTAATATTTGAATGAGATACATTTTCTTAAACTAGAGGCAGAAATTTATGGATATGGAACATGAGCTAGAGTTTCCAAGCTTCAAAGAGCGTTATCTCCTCTGTTGATAAGGGAAGACTCTGCCTCTCTAACCCAGGTTGCTTCAAAAGAACTTCTGCCAGCCCTGGGTTCCAGAAGTTTCTTTACATTTCTTGCTTTCCAAAGTTATGGATTCATTTGTAGAAGGCATCTTTTATTGGCACTCTTTGAGATCCGCCATATCTGGCCCTCCTGGGCATTTTCTAAACTTTTCTCTCATTCTTTCCAGAAATATTCTGCCTTAACTTACCTACCTAGGTAATGCTCCTATAATTTCCAACTAATGGTGAAGTTCTCACCCTGGCTGGTGTGGCTCAGTGTACTAAGCACTGGCCTGTGAACTGGAAGGTCACTGGTTTGATTCCTGGACAGAGCACATGCCTGGGCTGCCGACTAGGTCGCCAGTTTGGGGCATGTGAGAGACAACCAATAGATGTTTCTCTTATGCATCGATATTTTTCTCCTTCCCTTCCCCTCTCTCTCAAAATAAATAAATAAAATCTTTTAAAAATAAATAAAGGTGGGGTTGTCTTCTTCTAAGTAGAAATATATGATGGAGATATCTGAAACTGGTCAGTCCTGAGACACTCTCCACGTTTCCTGTGATTCTTTTTAACATCGTGAAATTACAAACCGGATTCTGGTCTGCTTCAATTTAGTCAATACTTACATGCAATTTCAACTTTATCATTTTTATCTCTCTCATAATAGTACTAAAAATACAGTATGTGCATGCGCATCTGTGTGTGTGTGTTTTAGTCTCTTTATTGCCCTGTAGAGTTAGCAGGTTCAGAACTGAAAAGATCAGAATGAAACTTCTGGAATATTACTATCATCATTTATTTCTCACTGTGGGGAATATTTCCTGAATGTTTCACATAAACTTTTAATAAGGCATGTTCAACGTTGTACTGATTATCTTCAACCTGAGCTTTCTCTTCTCCTTAAATTTCTTATCTCAGTTAATGCATTATCATCTATTTTACTCCCCAGACTGGGAATCTGGACATAATCATACATTTCTTCATATTTAGTACCAGGAATATCAAAGTATTGACCTCATCCTTTTAGCTAAATTAAATTTTTCTAAAATATTATCTATGCTTCTATATGCCACTACTAAATTCTAAAATGATATCCTAAGAACTTTTTCTTTTTTACAAGTTTTCCCCCTCAGCATCGTCTACCACACAATTTTTAAAGTATTCTATCTAAAAGGCATATTTGATCACTTTTACTTTTGAGGTTTATTGTGGTCCTGACCCCCAGGTGTACACAGGATAACACCATTCGTATTAACATGGCAAAGAAAGCCTCCCATTGTCAGGCCCTTCCCAAGGTCAAATCTCCTTGCCCCATTCGCCATCATACTGCTCTGTCAAAACAAAACTCCTTGCCCAGATATTTTATGCATTTTGCCTCTTCTTTCACTGCTCATTTTTCCTGTTAAGAACTTATCCCCTGTTTGCATTATGAGAAATCATTTATCTTTATAATTCAGTCCAAATCCCACACTTTCTGCAAGCATTTCTAAATCATCCTAGGTAAAAATTATCATTTTCTTCACTTTATTCTGGGTAAATCCTTGCAGGCTTTAATTAAAGCACCTCTAAATATTCACTCTACTTCTGTTTAAGTGTTTTTCTTCCCTACTAAATTGTAGGTAACTTAAGTTCCATATCTTATTGGTCCTTATAGTTTCAATGCCAGACACATATAAATAAATTAAAAAGCTGCTTCTTATATTGATATGCCCAAGTTTTGTCTCCAATCTAAATTGCAAGTTCATTGAAGGCAGAGACCACATGTACGCAATTCAGATTTTATTTCTCCATATATTTATTCATGTTTTCTAGTATGCTTTCCTAAGGGACAAAAAAAGTGCTTCTGATGACTTAAAGTTTTATGTTAGTGCCTGGCAAAAAAATAATTTGAAAACAATGACCAATTATTCTTCTACTGTGATAAAAATAAATATCAAGTTTATTTTATCAAGACATATTAAGGAAAAAAATCAGTAACAAAGTTGCTTTAATGTAGAATAATAATAAACATATCACAAAATTCTAAAATTCTAAAAATTATTTTCCTTTGTTGATATTACTGATGTTTTCTCATAATCAAATTGACTAATATAGGAGTACATATTCAATAAGTACCTATAACCAATTAATCAACATTATAATTACATCTTTGTCATAATTAAGGATTTTTCTGTATTTATAAGATTTCCAGGTGTGGTAAATTAAGTATTTAAATTTAGTTTTAAGTAAAAGCTAAACTAAATGTGATATCCATAGGCTATGCAAATAAATTTGATAAAGAATTAGACATATACATAAATTTTGACAATGTAACAGTTTGCCTATATTTGAATTTTCCATGTTATAAATTAAATTTAATTAATTACTTAAATCAAACTAAATATGACCTCTATAGGCTTTATGCAAATAAATTAGCCAAAATAGATAAAACATACACATGAATTTTGACAGTATAACAATTTTCCCTCTAGCAGTTGCTACTTTGAAACAAAAGAGTAAATCACTTACTACAATATTGGAAAATCTTCCTAAAATGGACTTTATATTTTAAAAGACAATTATTATGAATAATAATATACATACCGAAGGATGGTCAGGATGTTTGGAATACTAGAAAAAGTAGCAAATATAACCATCGAGAAGACAACAGCAATGAACAAAGGTAATTTATAGCACTTTGTATCACATGTCCCAGGTCTAGCATCAATGAAATCACCTTGATCGTCTGAGGTAGTTAATCCTTCAGTAATGCAAGAACAGTTGAAATATGCCTGAAAATTAAGATAGAAAATTATCTTTTAGAAATATAGTTTTAAAGCAAAAGTGCATTATTGTAAAATAAAAATTAAATTAAGAACTATATGGAGACTAACCAGTTTTAACAGTAAATACTCTTACATTAAATCTGCTAGTCATAATTTAGAAATGAAACATTAATGGTAAGTCCAAGCTATTTTAAAGACTCATGTGTTTATATGTGTGTATGTAATTATAGTTAGGAAAATTCTATTAATTTAAGAAATTCCACCAAAAATATTTACATCTAATTGCACAAATAATTTTCAGAGAGTTATGTAAATTGAGAATAATTAAGGATAATGTAATAAATAAAATTGAACTTTAGCTGAATTTGAAACATGGGCAGTCACCCAACTCTGGAAGGTTATGGGACTATTACTGTAAAGCTAAGACTTTATTTTGTATGTAATGATGGCAGGGCTATTATCTTTTAGGCAGAGTAGGCATTGTCAAGGGCTCCAAATGTATTAGGCCATATAAAAATATTGTAATTTTAGTGTCTTTTAAAATTAAAATAATGAATATTGTAACAATGAATCCAGCTTGTATCATATTTGTCTTCATACTAATGCAGTTGTACATTAATATGTTTAAATTAATTAATTTTTTTCTTACAAAGGCAAAGTTTCTAAGGCCAAAGCCATAAGGTAACCCTAACTGGGAGCCAATGAAAATTCGGGGTGGTTGTTGTAGGGTTAATAATTCAAGAAAGATGAATAGTTGATTTTTCATCTTTCTTTAAGAAGATCTAAACAGACTTTGAAGATACAGAGACAAATTAGCAATTTATTAATTTACTGAAAAGATTTTAAGTTAAAAAAGCATCATAAATTCAACAGAAATATGGAACTAGGTTATAGTGAAGGTGTAAGAGGAAAGAAAAGTGGCTTGAATCTGAATGATTCACAGAATGTAGGTCCACAAATCATCTCAGTTCGTGAACTTCCCATAATCAGTGACTACCCCAGTGACTCACTGATAAACTGGGCAGAAATATGAAGAAGGTAAGAGAGGGAGCCATTTCATTATCTAAAAAAAAAAATGCATTCTGGGGAGGAAAATGAAAGCAAAAATAGAAATTGAAAAGCCTTGTGGCTGAAGCTTGCTTGAAAAGTTTGAAGGAAAGCAAAGAGAAAAATGTAGCTGGAGCAGAAGAACATAAAGTAAACTAAGAGAAAATATAATTGGAGTAGTGAGGGGAAGACTAGATTACACAGAAACTGGTAAAGAATTACAAGGCCAATTTAAAAACATTGGTTTTTAATCTTAGTAATGTGAAACCATTGGAGGGACATAGGTATAAATGCCATTTTAAAAGATCACTTGACATCTCTATTGGGACTACTTGTCCATGAAGGTAAAAGTGAAAGCAGAGAAAACAGTTAAAAAGCTATTGAAACAAGGTATAAGATGATGATAATTGAGACCAGGGTAAGTATCAGCGGAAATGATGAAAATAGTTAGATCCCGCATTTATTTTGAAAGTAGATGTGAAAGGATTTTCGGAAAGGTCTTAGGGTAGAAATGGTTATCAGAAGAAAAAGTCAGGGGAGGCTTCTTTGAAAGAAACTGAGACCCTCAGTCCGGGGAGACAGTCCATAGGTCAGAAAAGGCACCTAAAAAATGAATATGACTTCACTGTTGTTCCCCATCTATCTGATGTTCTATTAGAACTCTGCAGTGTTTTAATCCAGTCATAAACCAGAAGGCAAAGGAGCTCTTATCATATAAATCAGTCTCCTGGGGCAGTGGGGAGGGTAAAGAAAGGTGAAAAGTGGATCTGGAGGTCAGACAAAAGATATCTAGCACAACAAATGATTGCAGGCTGTAGAACCTAGGCTACCTGAGGGCAAAAGTGAAAAAATGAGGAAGGTTTAGTGAACAGATTATAGAATCACAGATATCAGGCTCTGGAAGGGAAATAACAAACTGGGGAATTACATTCAAAGAAATATAATCAAAATGCCAAAAGTTATGTCAAAATAAAATAGTAAAATACATTTATTTCAATTAATAAAAAGGAAGGTAGATCTAAATACACCATATCAACAATTATAATAAATGTCAATACTCTAAAAACTCCAATTAAAAAACAGACACTAACAAAATTGAGTCAAAAACAAGACAAACTATATGCTGGCTACAGAAATTTTCTTTTATTGATTATGTTATTACAGTTGTCCCATTTTTTTCTCCCCTTTATTCCCCTCCACCCTGCACCCCTGGTCCCACCAGCATCCCCCCAACCTGCGCCACCTCCTTAGTTCATGTCCATGGGTCATGCATGTAAGTTCTTTGGCTGCTCCATTTCCTTTACTATTCTTAACCTGCCCCTGTCTATTTTGTACCTACCATTTATGCTTCTTATTCCCTATACCTTTCCCCCTTTCTTGCCGTGCCCCTCTTCTCTGATCTCCATTTCTGTGATTCTTTTCCTGTTCTAGTTGTTTGCTTAGTTTGTTTTTGTTTTCTTTAGATTCAGTTGTTGATAGTCCTGAGTTCGTTGTCATTTTATTGTTCACAGTCTTTGATCTTCTTTTTCTTAGATAAGTTGCTTTAAAATTTTATTTAATAAGAGCTTGGTGTTGATGAACTCCTTTAACTTTATCTCATCTGGGAAGCACTTTATCTGCCCTTCCATTCTAAATGATAGCTTTGCTGGATAGAGTAATCTTGGATGTAGGTCCCTGCTTTTCATGACTGAATACTTCCTGCCAGCCCCTTCATGACTGCAAGGTTTCTCTTGAGAAATCAGCCGATAGCGTTATGGAAACTCCTTTGTAGGTAACTGTCTCCTTTTCTCTTGCTGCTTTTAAGATTCTCTCCTTATCTTTAATCTTGAGTAATGTAACTATGATGTGCCTTGCTGTGTGCTTCCTTGCGTCCAACTTCTTTGGGACTCTCTGAGCTTCCTAAATCTCCTGGAAGTCTATTTCTTTGGCCAGACTGGGGAAATAGACTTTCGTTTCATTAGTCTCCTTCGTTATTTTTTCAAATAAGTTTTCAATTTTTTGCTCTTCCTCTTCTCCTTCTGGCACCCCTATGATTTGGATGGTGGAACGTTTCAAGTTGTCCCAGAGCTTCTCTTCATTTTTTTTTTTTTAATTCTTTTTTCTTCATTCTGTTTTGGTTGAATGTTTATCTCTTCCTTCTGTTCCCAATCGTTGATTTGAGTCTGTTGGCTGACTTTACTGTTGGTTCCCTGTATATTTTCTTTATTTCACTTTGCGTAGCCTTCACTTTTTCCTCCATTTTGCAACCATACTCAACCAATTCATTGAGCATCCAGATTACCAGTGTTTTGAACTCTGCCTGTGATAGGCTGGCTATCTCTTCATCACTTAGATCTATTTTTGGAGCTTTGATCTGTTCTTTCACTTGGGCCATATTTCTTTGTTTCACCATGCCTGTTATTTTGGAAGGGGTATTCGCCAGAGCTCTGCATTGTGATGCTGTATGTAGGGGAGAGGTTTGAGAGGGAACAATGATGCTTTCTGGGCTTCCAGCCAGCTTTCAGTCACTTCCCCTGCTACCCACAAGCAAACTGGGCCCTTCTGGTGCTGATTCCTGGGCAGATGGGTTTGTGTATATTCTAGGACCTTGGGGGTCTCTCCGACAAACTCTCCTGTGAGTCTAGGAGTTTCTCCCACTGCTGTTGCATCCCCCATAGTATTTTACAGCCAGAGGTTTTGAGGTTTTCTTTTCCCGCACTGGAACTCTGCATTTGTGGTCTGTCTTGCTCCCCAGTTCTTCCTCCCAGTTTATCAGCATGCAAATGTGGGACCACCCTGTCCTACCGCCTTCCCTACCTGGTCCTCCTGCCATCACCTTGCCTGCTTGGCCCTCCGGCTGCCTTGCCACATGTCCTCTCTGGCCCGGTTGCCCATCTCTGCGCCTCCTACCAGTCTGGGTGAATGTTTAACTCCTGTGTTGTTGGACTTCTGTACAGTTTGATTTTCTGGCATTTCTGATTATTTTTTGTTTTTAAATTTGTCGTGTCCCTTCTTTTGGTGTTCAAGTAGGCAGAGTGTATCTACCTATGCCTCCATCTTGGCCAGAAGTCCCAACAATTTGCTTTAGCTCTTAATTATTGTATTGGTTCAAAACGCCAAGGTCAAACAGTTCTGTTTTATACTATGGTGACAATGTGAGCATTTAATAATCATTTAGTTGTTTCAAAAAAAAATAGAGGAGAGGAAATAAGCAGGAGTATAAAATAAGATTTTCTATAAGTTAATAAATTGTTGAAGGTGGGTAATTGGCATATAGGTGTCCATTATGCTTTTCTATTACATTTAATGCTTTCCACAGTAACATATTTTAAAGATATTAAATGTTATTTTAAATATATATTGTAACATTAAATAAAGACTTTTTAAAAGGTGTGCATCCTTTTTATATTAATAGTCAATTAAAAAAACTAAACATATATGAATAAATAATAGGTGATTGAAACATGACTATAAGGAACTAAAATTGGTCAGGTGCGCTAATACCTTGTAGTGAAATGATCTGTGTATAACAGGGAAAAGAATATTGACATGTAGATGCATAACTAATAAATGACTTTATTACCAATTAAGGGAGGTGGTATAATGCCTATAGATCAGGAAATATTTGTCTCAGTTGCTCTCTCTGCTTTACAAAAACTGTCCAGAGAAGAGAGAGAGAAGTATAGAATTTTTAAAGTCTGAGTCCCTACTTCTATGCCACTTAAAAGGGTGATCCTGCAGTTACAGTCCATTATTTAGCTGAAAGTTCATTTATGCAACTTTGGATACAAGAAAATTAACCTGGAGTCAAAAAAATAGACTGCTCTACATGTGACAAAAAAGGGAAATTTGTCCAGAGGTTGGTGGAAGGCCCAGGGAAATAAGGAATTCTGATGATAATGGCCCCAAAATGAGCAAATAGGGGAATTTTAAAATAAAATCTGATCCATCTAAATATCAAAGGACAGAGATAACATATATTCAATTTTAAGTTATTTGGATTGCTGCCATAATGTAAACATCATCCACAAGTTCAGCATCTTACTGGAGAGGAAGAAGCGTAATTAAAAATAATTACCTTGTGATTATTTAATGTTTTAGAATATGTACAACCTGCAAAGCAAGGTGAAAAATATCCAATATCATCTCTTCCACATACAGGAGAATAAAATTTTGAACATCTACAAGGAGAATTGCAAGGAGCTGTCAGGTTTCCAAACTTCCCTGTTCTGCTTAAAAAAAAAAAAAAAAGACCTTGAATGTAATCATGATGTCATTGTAGTATACTTATTAATGCACACATCAAGATATCAATGAGGTCCACAAAATATTATTAAAATATTTTAACAGCTTTATTAAGGTATAACAAATATACAATAGACTATATATGTCTACAGTTCATAATTTGAAATTTTTGATATATGTATACACTTGTGAAATCATCACAAACATGTTAAAAAATGTAATCATCACCCCCCAAAATTTCCTCATGCTCCTCTGTGATTCCTCTACCTCCTGGCATCTAATGATCTACTTTCTATCACCATTCATTGGTTTGGATTTCACAGCATTTAGTGAAATGGAATAATATATTATGTTTTATGTTCCCTTTCTTTGTCTGGTTTCCTTCTTTCTTTCTTTCTTTCTTTTTTTCTTTTTTTTTGTCATCTGGTTTCTTTCACGCAGCTGATCTTTATGTGGTCTTTGTATCGGTATGTGCTTCCATGCTCTTGAGTAAATATTAAGGAGTAGAATGTTTGGATAATTATGGTAGGTGTCCACATAACTTTTTAAGAAACTGTCAGTTTTCCACAGTGATTGTGTTATTCTACATTTCATCAGCAGTGTATGAGTTTCAGTTGCTTTCTTCATTCTTCATCAACAGTTGGTATGGAAAGCCTTTTTAATTTTAGGCATTCTAACAGGAATATAGTAATTTTATACTGTGGTTTTTAATATGAATTTCCCTCATGGCTAAAGACATTGAGCATCTTTTGTCATGCTTATCATTAAGTATTTCTTTTTCTTGATATGAATGCTAATATTTTTATTATAAATTTCCAGTTATTTGTAAGTAGTACATAGAATTACCATAGATTCCCATATATTGATCTTTTCTTCTACAATATTTATTTTTTTCTTGATACTACTGTTAACAGTATTATTTTTAATATTAATTTCTGCTAATTTGTAGATAGTAAATAGAAATATCATAGATTCTTCTATGTTGATTTTATATCCTGCAAACTTGCTAAACTCATTTTATTAGTTATAGTGGTTTTCCTGATTTTCTATATAGACAACTGTGTTGTCTTCAAATAAACACAGGTATACCTCTCCTTTTCCTATCTGGATGCCTTTTATTTATTCTTCTTATAGTAATGGCTAGAGCTTCCCATACAATGTTAATATAGAAGTCATCAAAGCAAATATCTTTATTGTATTCCTGGTCATTAAGTAGTTCAACATTGTTTTAGTCTGCTCAGCTTGCTTTAACAAAATAGAATCAACTGGGTGGCTTACACAACAGGACTTTTTTCTCACTATTTTCTCACTGCCTTACAGCCATTTATATTTAATGTGATTAACAATGATTGGGTTTTATTCTATCCTCTTCATTTGTTTTCTATTTATCTTATCTCTTCTTTGTTTTAAAAAAAATACTCCTTTCTGCTTAATTTGATATTAAACAGATATTTTTGTAAAATTCAATTTTAATTCATGTTGGCTTATTAGCTATGACTCATTTTTTTTAAATGATTGCTTTAAAGTTTACAGTGTACATCTTTAACTTCATCTACCAACATATATTATAGCACTTCATGTAAACCCATATTACATGTTAAACTGTTTTTTTAAATTGCATGAAGAAATTTAAATAAGAAAAAATATTTACCTATACAATTATCATTTCCTTTGCTCTGCTTTGTGTAGTTCATATTTTCACCTAGTATTATTTTATTTTAACCTGAAAGACTTCTTTCAACACTTCAATATCATTTACATTATTATGTCTAAAATTATTTCTCCATTTTTTATAGATATTCAGGCTCAATATAGACTTATAAGTTGACATATTTTTCAGTACTTTAAAAGTATTGTTTAACTGTCTTCTTACCTGCATTGTTTCTGATGTAAAAATCTATGTTAGCCTTATCTTTGGCTCTTTGTACACAAAGTATTTTGTTCACCTCTTGCTGCTTTTAAGATTTTCTCTTTACACTTATTTTGAGCAATTTGATTATTATAAACCATGCTGTAATATTCTTCTTGCTTCTTGTAGGGAAGGTTTGCTGGGGTTTTTATTTTTTTAATCTGTAGGTTTATAGCTTACATGACATTTTTAAATTTTAGACATAATTTCTTTCAATGTTTTCTTTCCTCAAGCCCTCTTTTTTGAGAACTCCAGCTACATATATAGTTGGTCACCTGAAGGTGTCCAACTCACTGATGCTTTTATTCATTTTTATTCATTCTTTTTTATCTGTATGTTTCCCCTTGGAGGGTTTTTATTTCTATTGATTTCACATTCACTAATCTTCTGTAATGTCTAATTTATCATAATCTCATAGAGTATTTTTCTCACACATGCTAGTTTTCATTCTATATGTAAAATTTGGATTTTAAAAAACATTTCTACTTAACTTTTTAACATGTGGTACACTGTATAACTGTGTTAAGGCCCTTCTCTAATAATTTCTTTCAGATTTTTATTTATTTATTTATTGCTAGAGAGAGGGGAAAGGAAGGAGAAAGAGAGGGAAAGAAACATTAATGTGTGGTTGCCTCTCACGCACCCCCTACTGGGGATGCGGCCTGCAACCCAGGCATGAGTCCTGACTGGGTATCGAACCAGCAACTGTCTGGTTTGCAGGCCAGAACTCAATCCACTAAACCATACCAGCCAGAACCCTTCCCTGATAATTTTAATGTGTCATTTATGGGTCAGCTTTGATCAATTGATTTAACTCCTCTTTATGGGTTGCGTTTTTCTGCTTCTTTGAATTCCTTATAAATTTTTATTGGATATTCAGCCTTATAAATATCACAATTTTGGATATTGGATATTTTTGTATTTTTATGAATATCCTTAAGCTTTGTTCTGGAATGCATCTAATTTACTTGTAAACACTTAATCTTTTGGAGGTCTTACCTCTAAGATTTGATTGGCAGAGCCAGGGTAGTGCTCAGCTTAGTGCCAATATTATCCAGTATTACTCCTGCTGAGGCAAGGTCCTTCAATATACTTTGTACTCTGTGGTTTTTTTAATTTTCTCATTGGGCTGGTGGAAACAGATATTATTTCCAGTCCTGTGTTAGCGGTGGGGACTGCTTCTTATAATTCTTTCAGTAGACTTGAACTTAGGCACTTTCCTCACACATAATGTTAATTTCTACTCTGCTGTACATTTGAGGGGAAACCTCCTAAGATACATCCCCTGATACACTATCCTGTGAACTCCAGCTATATTAGTCTCTCTGGACTATCAGTTTATCACCTCAACTCAGGGAATCTGCTCAAATCAGTCTGGCTCCTGATCCCTGTGACACAACCTCAAAATTCTCTTTACGGGAGTACAGTGGAGGGGCAGTAGGGCTTAGCTTGAATATTCCCCATCTCTCATGTATCACTATCCCTCATTGGCTGATTCCTATGTCTTGAAGAATCACTGGTTCAATTTTCAACAAATTTTTTGTTATTTTTGGCAGAAGGAATATCCTATCTTGCCTGGATATTAAAGTCCAGGACAATATCTAAATATAAATTTCTATAAATATCTAAATATGAATATAAATATATAAATATAAATATCTAATTATAAATATAAATTTCATTTAGAATGAAACCAGAGCACCTTACTTTACATTATCATTTTAAAAAGTGGCTATATTTCAAAATCATTTTATGACTATTTTTTAAACTATATATTTGAACCAATAGAGGCAGCAAAAACTAACCCTGCATAATCAAATAATAAATGTATTAAATGTCTAAGAGCTCACAGAATGGGTAAGAAGCCTAGAGAAATAGATTCTAAAAACCACAAAGATCCCCCAAAAGGTTAAGCAAGATTACATGATAAGACTAATCTTCTTAGCAAGATACCACCCCCACCCCCCACCCCTCTTGCCCCTAGGACCTGGTGCATTTGTATACTCTCAGCTTTGCCTTGGCTGCTGCCTCCGACTGTAGCCTCTGACTGACGAGGAATGTTTGTGCTACTTTCTCAAAAATCAAAATCTTGAGGGAGCAGTCCAATCAGCTGAGCCTGTCATATCTTTGTTGATGTCAGGAAAATGAGGAAAGTAATATTTATTGTCCTTTGATTTAGAGGGAGGAAAGGCCCTGACTCACGTGCTCAGTGAATAAGTCCCAAATAGAAAAAATGGTATATGTTAGACACCAAAAAGACAATTTTAACGCATTGTTGGATTCAATTTGCTAACATCTTGTTGACTACTGCATCTAACTTATCTGAGTCTATGAGATGTATTGGTCTATAGTATCCATCATTTTACATTGTCTTCAGTTTTGCTATCAGAGTAATATTGGCCTTAAAAAATGAATTAGTAAGTCTCCCTTCCTCTTCTATTTTCTAGAGAATATAGTGTAGAATCACTGTTACTTCTTTAAATATCTGGTAGACTCCTCCAGTGAAATCATCAGAGCCAGATGATGTTTTAGGGGGTTTTATAAACTGTGAATACAATTTCCTAAAGTTTCTTCTGTAGCTATTCAAATTATCTACTTCATATTGGGTGACTTTTTTTCCAGTTTGTGCTTTTCCATGATTAGTCCATATTATCTGTCAAAATTATCTGTGTGGAGTTGTTTGGAATAGTTCCTTCTTTTGACCTTTAAATAGTGATGGGAATATTTTTTATTGCCTGTTTTATTCCTGATAATAGTATTTTATGTGTTCTTTGCTTTCTTGACCTTTTCTGTGTCAGTCTTGCTAGAGGTGTGTCAATTTTACTAATCTTTCAAAGCATCAAGTTTTTCTCTCATTATTTTTTAGTTGTATCTTTATTTTTTACTTCTGCTTACTTTGGGTTTATTTTGCTCTTTTCCAAATTCTTGAGGTGGGAGTTTAGATTCTTCTTATATTTTATTGTATGTTTTTAGTACTACAAATTCCCTAAATACTGTTTCAGTTGTATCCTACAATTGTGATATGCGGTATTTTCATTTTCATTCAGATCCATGTGTTTTCTCTTGTCTTCAGAC